GTGGGCCAAAACATTTGGGTCATCCTCTGCTGCTTTCCCAGGTGCATTAGCAGGGAGCTGGATTGGAAGTGGAGCAGCCAGGACTCGAATCAGAGACCACATGGGATGTGGGTGCTGCAGGCAGCGGCTAACCTGCGCCACAGCGCCGCCCCCGGAAGACAGCATTTTTAAGGGGCGTGTGGTTCTTCACCCTGTAATGTGCCGTCATCTGCTTAACCAGCGTGCTGTTGGGCACTGGGAAGCTGCGGTGGCCGTGCTGCTCTTGCCCGCAGCCCTCGTTAGCTCTTCAGAGCAAGTTCTCACGTGGACGGGCTGGGTGAGTCCTCCAGAGCCTCTCGGGAGTCCGCAGAGCCATCCTGGCCCATCCTGGTGCTGCGGCCCCGCCTGGCCCCCTGGCCCTCGCTCCCTTCACCTCGTGGAACACCGCCATCCAGCCTGAGGGCCTGAAACGTAGACTGCAGCTCGTGAGCATGGGCCGGCACGTGGCCCACCCCATGGGCTTCCCTGGCCCCTGTCCTGAGGCCTCCTGCTGTCCCCACCCTCCAGCGATGCCATCTGGCTTCACCCTGGTCTGGGTGGCAGTGGCCTGCCCAGGCACACCTGGGTGTGACGATGACTCAGCAGCTGGGCAGGCAGTGACTGTCACACCTCGCAGCAGAGGTAAGTCCCGCCCAGTCCTGTCCCCTCCCCTCAGAGCTGGGTGAGGGTGGGAGGCTGTCTGACCACTCTGCTGTGGAGCCACGGGAGAGGTATGTAACGAGGCCAGCCAGAGCGCTTCGGCTCAGCCCTGCCCTAGGCCGAGCCTGCTGGCTGCCCACAGCAGGGCTGGTGCTGTGTGGGTCCAAAGGCGGTGGCAAGGCTCTCCCCGCTCTCTGGGACTTTGGGCAGGTTACTCAGTCTCACAGCTGCTGCTCCACTGAAGTGGAAGGGAAGGGAGTCTTTGCCTCGCAGGGTTCAGTCGTGTGCCCCGCCTGTGTTCAGTGGTCCCCACAGTCCCAGGCGCCTGGGATGCTAGGGTTCAGTCGTGTGCCCAGCCTGTGTTCAGTGGTCCCCACAGTCCCAGGCGCCTGGGATACTGCGGTGGAACAGGGAGCAGGGCCCTGCCTTTTGGCGCTTAGTGCAACCACAGAAGGCGGTCAGGGACGATGCCAGCCTGTGCTGGGCAGCACCCTAGGGCTGAGGGTGCTGCTGGAGGGGCTGGCAGGAAAGGCTGTGGACACACATGCAGAAGGGCGGCCCTGTCGGTGTGCCTGGTCACCCCCTGCTGCTGCTTAGCATTCCAGGGAGACCACAAGGCCCCTTCCTCCCTTCACGGGCCCTGTGTGTGAGCCACAACCCAGATCCCAGGTCTGTGCAAGGCCAGGGCGGGCCTCCCTCCCAGTGCATCCTCCAACCCTCTGCAGGTCTCCCAGTGGCCTCCCCTAGTCACTGCTTCAAAATGCTTTCAGCGAACATTCGTGGAGTGCTTCCTGTGCCTGGCACAAAACATGGCAGAAATAAGACAGCCAACGCGCGGCCGGCACTGTGGCGTACAGCATAAAAGCAGCATCCCATGTGGGTGCCACTTCGAGTCCCGGCTGCTCCACTTCCGATCCAGCTCTCTGCTGTAGCCTGGGAGAGCAGTAGAGGATGACCCAAGTCCTCAGGCCCCTGCATCTGTCTAGGAGACCCTGAAGAAGCTCCTGGCTCCTGCTGTTGTGGCCTTTTGGAAAGTGAAACAGTGGATAGAAGACTTCTCTCTGTCTGTCTCTGCCTCTCTGTAACTCTGGCTTTCAAATAAATAAATATTTAAAATAAAAAAGCCAATTTTTTTTTCATCTTTGGGTTTTTATTTTATTTTATTTTATTTTATTTTATTTTTTTGACAGGCAGAGTGGACAGTGAGAGAGAGAGACAGAGAGAAAGGTCTTCCTTTGCCGTTGGTTCACCCTCCAATGGCCGCCGCGGCCAGCGCGCTGCGGCCGGCGCACCGCGCTGATCCGATGGCAGGAGCCAGGAGCCAGGTGCTTTTCCTGGTCTCCCATGGGTGCAGGGCCCAAGCACCTGGCCATCCTCCACTGCACTCCCTGGCCACAGCAGAGAGCTGGCCTGGAAGAGGGCAACCGGGACAAGAATCCGTGCCCAACCGGGACTAGAACCCGGTGTGCCGCGCCGCTAGCCGGAGGATTAGCCTAGTG